ATCTGGCTCCACCTCCTCTTACATCACACTCCTAATGGCCCAGAATCCAGGATAACACAAGAAATGTCCATTGTGGAATTCTTAAGCTTATCACGTTCTTATCGTTGCACTTCAGGCCAGGTCTGCATGCCGATATGCGAAACCCGCTGATATTGTTGTTCCTGACAGATTTTTCCCACTCTTTCTCTGTAGGTGAAGTGTTTTCTGTGTAGGAGGGGAAACGTCTAAGTACCAGCTGTTGCAATGCTTTCTGATGCAAGTGGAAATTATTTTGCAAAGGGGCAAACTTGACATTTGGTTACAGGTGCAACATGCAAACAATCCAAAAACAGAAGTATTCAGGACTTAAGCTTTGTTTTGGATCTGGGAAACTTCTGTACTGTTAATAACTGCAGTCAGGCACCATTTTATTCAAGGTAGGGACGCGCTGAAGGATGGGATCGGAGTAATTAAGCGCGTCATTACGACTTCAGCTACACAAACATGTTATAAATAGCAATGAGAGGACATAACCTGTGCCTGACTCATGCAAGTCTTGACAAAGAATGTATCTTTACACCGCTTTGTAGATCAATATTGCAACTTATCTGAGAGAGTGTCAGATGTCAGGCAGATGAAAGAAGAAATGCATAATATCCCTTGCTGTTTATGTTGGTTGTGATCACTGCTTTACAATGCTGTACCCATAATCATATTGTTTATAAAAACATACTCTTAAGTCCGCCTTAGCCCCAGTTTGGGCCTCTCGTGTACGTCCATTAGTCTGAGTCACAAAGCCAAGTGTTGTTTTCTCTGAAAAGTAAATACCCAGCAATCTGTCGAAACCAAGTGTTATTATGTTACTTGCCTTTTTTAAATGAGCAAAGACGTGTCAAATCTGGCTACCTAAGTCCCAACTTTAGAAATAAGTTAAAAATCTTCTTTATAATGCAACCAATAGAATATGTTTCTTACAAATGGATGTAAGAGTCTTTGAGGGCTGTGAAAAGATTATTATAAGAGATCTTTATGCTTACCTCAACTTGAATGATGGTACAGCACAAGGAAACAAGCTCTCTGCTGTCACATTTATATAAGGTGCAGTGATGCATACAGAACGTACAGTTCAGATGGAGGCAGACACATACTGCTAATACACCTATAAGCTCAACCCTAGACAGAATAAACCTCATTCTCGCGGGCCCTCGGGTTAATATTCAAAACGCATCGCTGTTTCTAGTAATATGACCAAAGAATGGTAAAAATGGAAGGCTCGTCTGTGAGGTGAAAGCGACATGCACCTGTTATTTCACACACTTGATGGACACATGTGTACTGTCAAGCAGACAGGTACAGAGAGGTCTGAAGAGACACTCACACTACCTGTTGGAGCAGTTTCTTGGCATTCAACTTGTCTCACACACTTTTCTCTGGATTTATAGTCTGTCTCAGGATATGGAAGATCGGCCTCAGCTGTTCAGTTTTAAAAGCCAAACTATCACACTTATTGTGCACAACAGAACAAAACAAAGAGTCACTTGTGTCTTGGTTTGAGCACCTAACAGAAAGACAAAGCTTTTCAGAGTGGTTCAACTGGGAAGCACATTTACAGGCTGCAGACAAACCCCACTGTCCTATCACCATGGCAAAGCAGACCAGCACTTAAGTGGCACAATATAACACAACGACAGCCACCCCCTAAATCACCACTTTCAGTTACTGCCCTCAGGGAGGAAACCAGCGCAAAACTTCTAATTCCAATTTATTTAAACGTGTTTATGTCGTTACCTTCAAGCACCTAATTCTTCTTTAAATGTGCTTCATTTGTGTTGGTCCAAATGTGATTTGATGTGTTTTATGTAACCTGTATAGCTGTGGATTTGGCTCGTGCAAAAAAAAGGAAAAATGTGTCTTTATGCAAAGCAGAAGAATTTTCTATACCATTATTTTCTTCAACAGTAGTTGCTAAAGTTCAATGGGACATTTGACCCCTTCTGCCATTCATCCAAACATTAAGTGATAAAGACTTCTTGGACATGCTGTGTTCAATATTCAGTATGGAGCTTAATAGAGGTTCTTGCAAAGAGTCCAGACTCAATAGTACCATTTAGGCTGAAACATAATGGAAAGGCTCCACATAACAACAAAATGCTTTAATATGAACTCAAGCAAAGATGCAACTATTCAATTAATATGGGTGTTTTTCTTTAAACACGAAAAAATGTATATTATAATGTGTTGTGGAAAAAATGATATTTGAGGACGTCATATAGGCTTTGGGAAACACTGAATACTTCCACAATAATCTGACATTTTTAGACCAAACCACGATGACTAATGAACGATATGACACACCAAATTGAAAGTATAGTACACCTTTCTTCAAGCTGTAAATGAACTATAACCAAACTTTGGATTCCCAATCCCAACTGGATGTGCTCCCAAACTTAACATCCCATCAGAGACCAAAGAACAGCCCACATTCCCTGGATATTAAGTGACCTACATTTAGGGCTAATTGCAAGTTCTGCACATTACAAATACGCCAACTGGCACTGAAAGCTCCAAAGCCCTGCTCGTTGGGAGTCAGGCCAGACCCCCTCCTATCACCATGGAGATGGCCCCTTCATTGTGGGGGGAGAATTAATGCACTTCTGGCACGTCTGCAGTGGCTCATTCATACTTCCCATGAGGAGAAACACAAACTTTATCGAGTTTAAAATTCAGAATTTGATCAATGTGATGCGTAAAAGTCCCTCTAAACAAACTGTCCCAGCGGAAAGTCGTATCAAATCTCCTTCACAAACTCCGTAACCTTGCAACAGGTGCAAACAACAACAACTTACCTGAAACAAAACTTTGCCCCGCTTCTTTAGTGATCTCCTTCCAACAGTGAATCATGCTAAAACGAGGTAAATACGCGAAAATGTTTCATGGTTCCTCCACGTCGCGTGTGATCAGAATTATTCCCAGGATCGGCCCCGGCGCTGGGGAAACCAGGTAGCAGCTGGGGGTTTTGGGAGTGGCTGTACGCAGCTTTCAGATTAACCCTTTCCTTTTACTCGGAAGCCACCCAGCTGACACTACCTGTTTGTAACCTGTTCTCCAATGACATCACTGACTGTACACAGCATTGTATTAAAGTGAAATGCACACACTACAAGACGTCCCTGAACAACAATTCAACACATTCAATGATTAAAAACTATACACACCCGGGGTAAAGTGCTTCCACAGCGAACAGGAACTGACCACGACTAAGACCCTGCCTCAGCTGCTCTAACTGGGGGTATTCAGGGGACTCCTCTTCCTCGCCCATTGAAATGGCATGAAGGGGAAGGCTAGCCATTCATATGCAGATGAGCTGGCACAGATACTGTGAACTCTACCAACACGGCTATTACAAGTCTGTACCTTCACTGTGTCAAATTCAACAAGTGGTTCCGATGTAAAGTCTAAACTAATCAGTGCTCATTAGTGATTGGATATTAATAAAGTACTGTAGTTAAAGGAGATTAAACACATTAAAGTATGTTAAAAAGTGTTTGAAAAGTGCATTAACAGACTAATCATTTTGTATTATCAATTCAACTGTTAACTAATTAACAGAGGTGGAGGGACAAGTACTCAGATCTTGTACTTTAGTAAAAGTAGAAGTACCAGAGTGTAGGAATACTCGGTTAAAAGTAGAAGTCATGCATTAACAATGTTACCCAATTAAATGTAGAAAAGTATCAGCATCAAAATATGTACCAAAAGTAAAAGTACTCATTATGAAGGTTGGTCCATTTCAGAATAATATATATGTTTTGATTTTAATTATATTGATGTATTAATGTGTTTATCAAAGCTGGTAAATGTGCATTTAATGACTTTTTATACTGCAGGGTATCTTGTGAATTTACTCCAGGTGGAACTAAAGTCGGATTTAAGTATATATACAAATCTGTAAAATAACTAAATGTACAAAATAAATGTAGTGGAGTAAAAGTACACAATTTACCGTAGTGAAGTACAAGTATCTCAAAATTGTACTTACATACAACTTGAATAAAATGACTTCCCACCTCTGGTTTATAATAAGTTGTATTATAATCGTTGTGTTGCTACTGAGGAAGCTGTGCAAGACTGTGTCAAGTGCATTTGTTGGATTTGAAAACAACAACATCTAAATATTTCAAAAAATCGAATGGTGTTGGGTTTTAAAGATGGGAGGCCTCTGTGGTCCTCCCCACGTCTGCCTAAGGTTACATTTGCCCCAATATTATCATATAACCTGAGCACACACAAACACATCCAACTATGGGATGCATTGTGGGTAATGTAGGCGCCAGGATTGACCATGAAGATAAATGTGTGGACTATAAAATCATGCCCTTATGAGGCCTTTTTTTGTCAAACAACCCCTTAAAAAGAAGCAGTTGCCAGTCACACGTCACCACAAGTACATGGGAAGTGAGAAAGTCTGTTTTATAAAAACAATAAAGATAAGTCAAAAGATCATGAAGGGGAAATACTATGTTGTGTATGTTTACCCCATTTGCTATCCTATTACACAGGCCAAATGTATTTATATTACAATTAATTGGAACCTCTTGACACTGATCTCCATGTTCAAGGCTTTTATTTGTCATACGTACATAGCTACAGTGTAGTTATGACGATGACAATCTTAGGTATGATACTATAAATTATACTGTGACTCCTAAAGTAAACTGGCTGCACCTGGGATGGGTAAGGTTTGTCTCATGAAATACTTCATTTAGATCAAGTTCTGTTTTCACTTTGACATAAAAGGGCATTTTACAGATGAGCCCTTTTAAAAAAAGTCAAGTATTTTTTTATTTAATGTTGTAAAATAATAATAAAAAGCCCTGTACTGTATAGAGAATGTAGCGGTTTACAAATGATGAAACTGCGCCCTCTACTGGCTGTAACACCACAGTGACACAATTTGATTTAAACACTAATTCAAAGTTATAAATAAGAACAATAAAACGTGAAGACAATGGAAAGCTCACCTGCTCAGTGGGAGCTTCATTTGGACAGGAGGTTGCTTCTTCAGTGAGATTCAAATGTTGCTCCTCAAACACGAATGTGTCATCTGAGTCAATGGGGCCAGGCAGCTCAGAAAAAGTGTCAAATTCTGGGATGTTTAGCTTGGGTATGGTGTCATACAGGGGCGACTTAGGGGGTGAAGGGAAGTCCATATCCTCATCTTGCAAACAAGTCTGTTGCTGTATGACTTCACCCTCCAGCAGTGGCTCTTTGGGTACAGCTTTGACCTTTGCCACATGATGATGTTGTGCATACAGTTCCAGGATGTCAGTATTCAGGGGTGCAGGGGTAGAAGATAAGCCTTCTGTTGAATCCTGCGTCTGAATGCCATCCTCTCTGTGTGCAAAACTGCTGCTGATTGGTCCTTCCAGAGTCTCACAGGGCTTCACATCTTGTATTTTCTCACATAATCCAAACGTGGAGAAGCGGTATGTCTCTCTTGGAGCATCCAGATCACAAACACGAATCACTGTGGCCCCTTTACGTCGTCTTATATCGTCCATTTCCAGTGGCTTGGTCACAGGTGAATCCATCTTATCAGAAGAGTGTTCAGTAATTGTTGGGATCTCCTTCACATACTGGGCAGGGACATAAAAGGGTCGGGTGTGCAGGTCTTTGCGTACGTGCCACCAGTGCTCATTAGTTCTGGAGACCAGGATGTAACTTTCGTTAGGTTTGATGGACACAAGGCGCCCGTCTTTCGCTGTGTACTCGAAGTCGTGCTGCACTGACACCAGCTCCATGCTCTGGTGCTCCTACGTGTCACTCAGGATGGAGCGTGGACATCTTGGAGCTGTGAATAGAGGAAATGGGAAGTTCATTGTCAATCACTTCCACCTAAATAAACACGTGACCTCTTTCACTTTTGGTAATGAGGGCCTGTGAGAACAAAACGCACTACTGCAAGATCACCAGATTATAAATGACTGATGTAGATCATCTGTTTGCATCTTGCAAATTATGTATCTATAAATCACATTCCATTTACTTGTATATAAACTCTTCTTGCACTATTTCTATTTTATTTGTATTTACTTGCACATCTCAAAACATTCTCTTGCACTATTTTATCTGTTTCATTTGTTTGGTGTCCTATATATATTCATGTTGCACTGTTGGAGGAGCCTGTAACTTTGCCATATATAGCTACACTCTAAAAATGAATTCAGGTGACCTTTCACCTCCACTTAATTAAATGCACGGTTGCAAGATAAAAATGTGAGTTAATTGATTTAGATAAAGATTTTAAGTTGCAAAAATTAATTTATAAGTTGTGTTGACGTAATAATGTTGGTAATTACATCAACTTAATATTGTGTGTAATTTGAACTCTGATTTCTGCGTTAATTGACTTAAAAGATCCTTCAAGTTGTAGTAAGTAATGCAACTTCATTGTTCTACACCTTGAGTTAAGGATTTCAAGTCCACTCCCACTTAACATGCCTGGACAAGTTCCGACAGTTAAGACAAATAGAAATATACAAAGGACATTTTAAGGTGAGTGTCATCTTTTGTCATTCAAATACAGTAGATAGCCTTGTAGTTGCACTGTATAGGCAAATTAGCAGCCTTTGAACTGTTAATAGTTGTGTGAGAGGGTACAAAGTAGTAGAGGCTACTTTGAGAGTAAAAATACTTTGGTTACTATTGTGATATCGCTTTTTATTAAAAATAAATCTCGGTGAAGCAGATCAAGGACATGCTTCTTGAGGTAGGATCGTTATTTAGAGTTGTCATTGAAATGCAAGTTGTTGGCAGTCACCCATTCAGAATATATTAATTTAGGTAATTTCTCTTTTTTTCCTTTTTCAAAAATAGCACAATACAATTGAAGTATGCAGAGAACTATAGCCATCCGCTGCCTTGTCGTGTGCCTTGGAGAAAAGGAAGAGGACCTTTTCAAGGAGTTTAGCGACGTAATTAAAAAATCTTCAAATAAAATAAAATCCATGGGCACAGTGTAATAACACAGGACAAAAGCACTGCTCTCTGTCAGTTACATTTTGAAGCATATTGCACTTTTGGCCACACCCCAATCAATAATATCTTAGCAACGTTCAGGATGGATAGGTGCAGTGCTTGAATTGGAATAAAAAAGGTGCCAGTACTCTAAATCAGCAACAAGTATTTGGCACAAAGTCATAGTATATGCTATAATGCTGGTGGGTTTGTCTCTTTACTGTATATTTTAGA